CTGGGCTTGTGAGCTTTGGGACCATGCATTCCCACCCCTCCCTCTCCTCTCGGTCCCCTCTGCCTGCTCTTCACTCCAGCTGTTTCTCCTGCCGAAAGCACCCTGTCCACCACCCTCTTCTTTGGGGTCCATCTGATTCTCCTGGATTCTTTGGAAAGTTTCTCAAACTACTCTTGCAGGCAGCCCTCCCTGACTGTCCCTGGGGCCAGCCGTTTCCCCTTTCTTCTTCCTGTTGTGCAGCATGCCCCCCTCCCCCCATCCCTCTAGCACTCATTGGTTTCCAGTGAGCAGGAGTTGGGAGAGTGGAGTCTGGAGTCAGAGACCGGGGTACAAATGTCAGCCACGCTGCTTGCCCGCTTTCCCATCCCGAGACGCTGCAGGAAAGGAAACCTAAGTAGCACGGGTCCCTGGAAAGTGCCAGAATCTGAGGAGAAACTGGCCTGGTGGTGTCCACCGGAAACCAGAGAACGCAGAGCCTGTTGACGTGGTCCATCCAGGTGCACCTCCCAGGGTACAGGAAGGAGTTGAGAGAGGACAGGGAGGGGCGAGTTGAAGCCACATGACTTTGAGAAAGTTCTAGAACCTTTCTAGCCATACCTTGTCTCCTCACCTGTCAGTGGAGCATGCTGACCCCTGGTGGTGGAGGGCTGGCGCGAGTTCACTCAGGAGCAGCGCCCGAAATTGTGCAGGGCCACCCCCTGATAAGCATGCGCAGAGTTGAGCTTTACTCATCGGTACTCTTTTTTTATTTTTTTCTTTTTTAGGTTTTTGCCGTAGGGCACCTGCACTCATCAGAGAGAGAAGGAAAGTGAGAACTCCTACCCTGGCGGGAATAGCCATGCCACAGTCCCTTCTTCTCCAGTCTCCTCTCGGGATTTAGGGCACACACGCAAATGCTCCTAGCATGATTTTCGAGCCAGCCAGCAGGACTCAAACTGCATTTGGTCATGTGAGAGTTTAGTGCTTTAACCACCATGCCACCTGCTGACCTGTTGTCATTCTTCCAGGGAGCGTACTGTGTTTGTGCGTGTGCTTCGTGTTGTAGATGACAGCGGGAACTCTGACCAGGTTACATGACAAAAGGCACTTCCTCTGGCCTGCCACTGGCTCCAAGGTGCAACTGGTTCAGGCCATGTCACCAGCATCCTCTCGGGCCCCATTCAACGGACAGTTACCAACACCACCAGGTTCACCCCTTCCAGGCACCCAGAGCAGCCTTTGAAGGCTCTGGGACCCTCCTCTCAATGACCAGGCCTGGGTCAGATGTCTGTGCTCTCTGTCCCTGGCCTAGTCACTAGAGCTGGAGAGGTGGCAGTGCTGATTGGCTCTATCTGAATCACATGCTCTGCTCTGTAGTCAAACTATAGGGTCATCGGAAAAGTCGTGACACACTTTTGCAAAAAATATGTCGTGACTTTTCCAATGACGCAATACATACGGGGAATAAGGGCAGCAGGGGCCTCTAAACCCAACTGGATAGAAGAGGGTATGGGGAGGGAGCCAGCTAGAAGGGCTCTGCAGCTCTGCTGAGCGCATGGGGCATCTCAAAGCACCCATAATTCTTTCTTCCCACCTCTCATGGGAGTTTTTGCATCCACGAATGCCTTGTTTTGCCTCTGGCCACCTTATCCTCTCCCACCCACAACTACCTGCTGGTCCTAAGGGTCTCTGCCCCCTCGTTGGATCTGGGAAAATAAACCAGCACGTCTATCCAGGCAGGTCTGCATGAGGTCCCGGGCATTTGTCTGCAGCCCTGGTGTGACACTGAGGGTAGCCAGTCACCCTGAGACCCACTCTGCAGAAATCCAGAGAGGAGTGAGGTGTCTGAGTACTCGGGACATCCAGGGACGCCATCCTGGACACTGAGGGACCATGCCGAGGTCTGTGAGGATGCTCAGGATGGCAGGGAGGAGAGGCAGGTGGCAGGGTGAGCTGGTGGGAATGAGACAGTGTTGTGCAGTGTGACAGAAGGCCAGTCAGCTCCTGCCACACGATTCGCTGGACACTCTCAGTTCAGCCGCTTTGAATATTTTACTGAGGAGAGAAAAAATGGAATCAGAATCCCTTGTGTCATTTTTAATTGATTTCTTCGGCATCCGGAGAGAGGCTGGCACAAGGCCAGGAGAAGTCTGAGCCAAGGGAATTCATCAAAAATCGACCTGCTGATGACTTGATCTGATGAAATAATTAGCTCCTGTTATCCTCCGGCTGCTGGTCTTAGAGCTTTGACTTCTATCCAGAGGCAGAGCCTCCTGGCTGGCGCGAGTCTGAGGTGCTCTGTGACACACGGGAGCCAGGAATGGAGTCAGACTGGCCACATCCTCAACTCAAGCCTCCTGCACTTTTTGGCCCAGAGCCAAAAAGGCCCTCAGAGGGCACCTGGCCACCTGCTGCTTCACTTGGAAAATACGGAAACTGAGGCTGGGAGGCTCATAGGAACTTGCTCAAAGATCTCTTTATGGGGACAGCAAGTTGCATGGTGGTTAAGGTGCTGGACTCCCATATTGTTGACTGCGGTTTAAGTCCCGTGTGCATGGTGCCCAAAATCCTGAGAAGAGAGTGGAGGAGAAGGGATTGCTCCATGACCATCCTCCCGAGGGGATGATTTCTCACTTTCTTTCTCACTGTCTCCAGCAAACGCATGTGCCCTATGAGAAAAACTTAGGAAAAAAAAAAAAAAAAAACCTGCTACAGGGGGTCCTGGTTGAGCAGGCCAAATCTAGCCACTCTGGGTTTGAACCCCTTCTCTGCCCTTACGTAGTCATATGAGAGTGTGAAAGGGGTCTTAGCTGCCTCAGCTTCCTATCTGTACAACGTGCGTCGTCTCAGCGGGTGATGTTCCGTTAGAAGAGCTGACGTCTGTAAGATGCTCAGAGCAGAGGGCATGACAAGCTCTCGTTTGCCGTTCTGAGTTCTGATTTCAGAGGGTCACCGTGTAGGGCACCCCCTGGAAGGTCTCTGGCTGACGTTACCCCCCGCCCATGCTTGTCTATCCGCAGGAGCCTGAACGTGCATCTCAGCGAGCTGATTGGTGCAGCCACAGTTTTGAGTGCAGAACACAAAGCCCCAGCGTTACCAGAGGGGGGTGTGGGAAGCAGCCTGCGGGGAGGACTCTGTGACTTGGGCCTATTGAGGGCCATTACTGGCTAGACCAGTCCTTTCCACTCTCCCAAAGCCTCCCCTTACCTCCAGCGTGTCCGTGGGTGTGCTCTCGGGCTTTGGCTCCTTCCACAACCTGCCCGTCTCCCTTAAACAGAAATGGGGGCCCAGCTCAGGACTCAGGCCGAGTGGAGAAGCCACTGGAATTGCACGAGGCTCTTTGAGTTCGCCTTGCTTTTATTTGTGCCGTTAGCTCTGTGGGGAAGGAATGCCCATTTTTCATTTGTCTTTGGATAGAACATTTTCTTTTTCCAGAATATGGATTTGTGTTTTTATTTTTAAATGAGGATATTTCAAGAAAGACATTAAGCAAGTGATTATGGAAAGGCCACGCAGAGTCAGCAGAAACGGGACTGTGGCACTTGAGTGGGAGAAGCTGGGAAATGTGGGGTTCGTGGCGGGGATGAGCACCCGCTGAGCGGCCAGTGGGAGCAGAGCTCAGCCCCCGTCTCTGCGGTTTCCTCTCTGGGTGGTCACAGGACAGTGACTAAACCTCAGTGTCCACGCCTGTGAAGTGGGGATAATAGCAGTCACTGCAGGAGAGTGTTGTGGGGCTTGAAGGGACCTCTGCAGACAGTGCTGGCCCAAACAGCTGCAGTGACAGTCACTAACACTCTAATCAGAGGCTGCCCCCAGAGTCGCGTTCACGCGAACACCCCAGGCCAGCTCTGCTCTCTGCACTCTGGACTAACGTTTTCAGTCCTTCACACACCCTTTTATTTCTTTATTTTTTAAGAATTATTTTATTTGCCTATTTATTTATTTATTGTATGAGGTTTGCCAGAGAAAGAGAGAGAGAGTGAGAAAGCAAGCCGCCAAGTCCAGGACTCGAACCGCGGTTGGCCATGTGGGAATTCCATCACCAGCGCCTTAACCACCACACTACCTTCTGGCCCCTTTATAGAGTTTTCTTTCTTTTATTTTTTTAAGAATTATTTTATTTATTCATTTATGTATTATTATTATTCCCTTCGCACCCATTTTAAAGATGAGGAAACCGTGAGGCACAGAGGTGCCAGGCTACTAGCCCAGGGTCACTGGCAGGAAATTCCCAAGTTCGTCCCTCACACGGCACACAGCAGGTGCCAGGCAACAGCAGAGAAGCCAAGGGGGTAAAGGAGGGAGGTCTGAGCAGGTGGCCAGGGCGGGCCCTCAGGGAGTCCAGTGCCTCACACTTGCACAACCTGGGAGCAGGGACTCCTTGCAGTTTGTGGCCCCATGGACCCGGCTGCCCTGGGGAGAATGGAGGTGGGGGCAGGGAAGGTGGGAGGCCACTTGGGCCTGTTGCTGTCCCCAGGGGAACCCTGGAGCCCTGGCCAAGTTCCCTGAGCCAGAATTGTGGACAGTGGCTGGGGTGCTCCATGGACAACAAGGGCAGACAGATCCCTTCAAGGTCATGGTGACACAGCCAGACTCCAAGGCTCTAGGCCTCCTCCCCACGCCCTGTCTCCTGTTCAAAATAGATGAGACCAAAAGTCTATATCTAGACAGGACCTAAAGGCTTATTTCCTCAAGAGCAGAAAAATGACGGCAGAGAGTCAAGAACAGGGTGAGATCGGAAAACTGCTCGGCCCAGACGCCTGTCCCGCTGCCCTCGCCTACCTCTGCTTGGGGCCCGGGACATCACCAAGGCCCAGTGGAATGTGGCAGTCCTCTCTCAATCTCTTAGATCTCTGTTCTCTCTTTTGTCATTTGGTTTGGTCTGAATTTAAAACTCGTATTTGTGCCTCTCGGAGTCCATTGACAAGGGGCTGTCACACCATCCCCACTGGGCCGAGTTCCAACACCAGTCATGTCTCCCCATTTTATAGACGGAGACACTCAGATTTCTCACTGGCTCGTTCTTGGCAAATGGAGCTGGCGAGTGGCAGAGCTGAGAGGGAAACAGACGCGTCCAGCCCAGTGTGTTCACAGCCCTGGTGCCCATCCACGGCCCCCAGCTGCTGACAGCTGGAACTCTACCTGCTCACCTTGGCACCTCAGACACCAGAGGACCAGCGTATTTGCTCCTGCAGGTCAGGTGCTGCCTGCCCTTTCTCGGGGTGATCTGTGCATTGACGTGGGCAGGCTGTTTGGGGAAGAGCTGATTGTCTGACTTGAGTCTCGGCCCCCAGCACGTCAGAAGCCTGCTGAGTCCAGGGGAGGAGTTCTGTCTGCAGAAGCGTCGCAGAGGCCTGTGCGCCAGCCTGCCTACCCACGAGTGCATTGCAAACGCCGCTCTGACTAGCTGAGCTAGGTTCTCGCTCTGCCGTAGCACCCGTGTCCGGAGGGTCTGGTTGTGCATGCCGGCTGTCGTGCAAGTCGCGTGCAGGAAGGAGCGGTGGGAGGGCCTTTAGCAGCACTGACCTGACTCTCCTCCTGTAGGTCTGTGAGGGAAGAGGGAAGAGTCCACACCACGGAACCCTAGACTCCGGGCTCCCAAAGAAGCGCCGATCAGCCAGAACGTAAGATGGCCCCGCCCAGCCTCGTGCTCTGCCTTCTGTCTGCCAGCGCCTTCGCCCTGCTAGACGGCAGCACGGCCTTCCTGTCACACCACCGCCTGAAGGGCCGGTTTCAGAGGGACCGTCGGAACATCCGGCCCAACATCATCCTGGTGCTGACGGACGACCAGGACGTGGAGCTGGGTAAGCGTCTTGGGGACCCAGGAGTTCCCTCAGCACATCTTGGTCCAGATCAGCCACCTCACAGGTTCTTGTCACCAAGGCGCAGGGTCGCCCAGCAAGGGCCAAAGCCCCCGATGTAAGGCCGTTGTGTAGACAGATAGAGCTCACTTCCAAGCTTAGATTTAAACCGTGACACACATGTGGATTTGTAGCTGGCGGTCCTCAAAGTTGGGGGTCTCTCGCCTTCTCCTAAGTCATAATCCAGATTTCTCCAGTCTTAAGGAGAAGCAGCACTAAGGCCAATCCATTATTTCCAGCCAGTCTCTGTTGGGTACCTAGTATGTGCCAGGCAATATTCAAGTGAGACACGACAGTCTCTGTTCTGGTGGAGTGAGGAAACAGGCCATCGACCCCACAGCAAGGTGTGGGTCGCATCACCCGGGAGAGTGGCGTGGTGAAAGCTAGGGAGGGCCACATGCTGGATGGTGCTGGAGGCTGGGACTGATGGGTGGTCAGCGAGGGGCTCTCGGAGGGGGTGGTATTTGAGCTGGCACTGAGCCAAAGAAGGAGCCAGGTCGCACGTGTGTGCATGGGTGTGGGTGTGTGTGCAGAATCCCTGACCTCGCTCCCCTTGCAGAGCAGTGCCACAGGCTCTTGGAGAGCAGGCATGGCCGGCCCTTACCAAGGCTTAAGTTCAAGGGCGGGCAGGGCAGGGACCCCTCTGGCTCTTGTCCCCACATCTTCCCTTCATTCCCCATCCGAGCGCCTGGGGCCACCCTGGGCGCACCTCTTCAGACTCCTCCCACTCCTGAGCAAGGCCCTGGCGCCTCCTCCTGACAGTTGGCTGCCTTCCCTGGCGTGATGCCTTTCTACCGTCTCTCCGTTAGCTCGAGGAGGAGCCCCCAAGATGGGCCTCCACCATCAAGTTCAGGTGGACTGCCTGCTCCCCAGGCTGAACTCCCCCTGTATCTTTCGCTCACCTTCGGGGATCTCTCAGCATGAGCCTTTTCCTCATCTTGGATATTTTTCCCCTTGAGTTTGCCGATTGGTGGGTGCCATTTCCCCAAGTTGAACCCTACCCCAGTGCCGTCTACAGAAACGTAACGGGAGCCACGAATGAAGCGACACGGGTAATGTGGCATCTCCTATAAGCTATGTTTTTAAAAGTAAAAGGAAACGGCTGCAACGTATTGTAATAGTTGACTAAACCCAGTATATCCAGACTAGTGTCGTCTCAGCCTGTGACCAATATTCAGGAACCACGTGTGACATACTGACCTTTCTCCAGGTTGGTTTTCCTATCCGCTGAGCATTTGACACTCAGCACATCGTGGTCCCGATCAGCCACCTCGCAGGTTCTCAGCCGCCGTGTCTATAGGACTGGACAATGCCCAGCCCTGCGCATGTCCCTTCTCCAGTAAATCAGATTTCCCTTATCATCAGCACTACTGTGTAGAGTGTGGGGAAAGGTGTTCCAGACAGCGGGAACAGCATATGCAAAAACCTGAGACAGGACGGAGAAGGCAGGTGTGGCTGGAGCCTGCGGAAGGGAAGAAGGACATGAAACTGGAGAGAGGGAGAGAGGGAGTCAGACAGTGGAGACCCTCGCGGGTTGTAGGAAGGACTGCCAGTCATTGAGCAGGTGGGGGCAGGCCCTTAGCCTCTGGACGACAGAATATCGTTGGCAGCAACACATGCAGAGGTTGACGGGGTAGGTCTGAGCACTGGTCCGTCTCAGCTACCTAGAAAAGGGGATTTATAGAAAACCATGTCACTCCTTGCAATGATTTGTATTAATGATCACAGGTATAGATTTTTCTCAGGGAGCTATCAGTGTGACAAAGAATTTGCCGCCTGGACGCAGTTAGACCAGAGCTTTTATTAACAGTTTGACGCACGAGCTACCTGCCTCCCGGTGGATTCCAGTGAGCTGCAGTTTGGTAACCATGGGGAGGCTGCAGACCACAGCCAGGGCATGAGTTTTGTTTCTAGCAGAAGTTTGCACACGGGACTTGCAGAGAACACCTGGACTGCAGGGCCCTATTGGGCTCTTGAGCTGCTTCGGTCATAGTGACACCTGGGACTTCGTGGTGCCCTGGACGGTCGTTCTTTCATTCGTCCACCAGCTGTCATGTCAGTCCAGCGTTTTTGTAGTGCACCATGCCAGGGCTGGAGAACGTGGTGGACTGTTCCAGGTGGGGAGGGCAGGAAAGGCAGAACCATGAGATGGACGGGATGGGTTGGCTGAACAGAAAGAGTGCCTGGGGGATGGGGAGCCCTGGGGCCGGGCCGGGCGGAGCCTGGTGGCCGTGGAGAGGACTGTGAATGCTGTCCTTCATGACATGGACGGGGGCGAGGTCAGCCGTGGCCTTACTCCGGTTCCAGCGGGTCCCCCAGCACCGGTGATGGAATGAGGTTGCAGGAGCAAGAGCAGAAGTCGCAGTCACCAGGGCGGTGTGAACACTAGGAGGGCAGGTGGCGACGGGGCCTGGAGCAGGGCGGCTGCAGGGGCCCATTTGGCATGTGGTTGGGAAATCGACTGACAGATGGGCTGGCTGCGGGGTTACAGGAAGGAGAAGACTCAAGGGCAAGTCCCGGGTTTAGAGCAGGAGCCAGGAGGTGAGAGATCGAGCACTCGGGCTCAGGAACGGCACGTCTGTGCCGCAGCGGCAAGAGCCAGCTGAGCCGCGTGTCGGGACCTGACTGTGATTCGGCTTCTGTGACTCTGGCATAAAACCAGCAGAAGTCGAGAAGTACGGACAGGAGTCCCGGAGGAGAGGAGACAAGGAACGCCACGGGGCTAGACAGGGGCGCAGCAGTGGGACACGGCGCTCTGCAAGGCTGACCGCACGAGAAGGGTCTAGCTTTGCACCCGGAGACCTCCCTGAGTACACCAGGCAGGCACATGCCCATTATCTGGGGCTGGCCAAAGCTGCAGTCGGATCGAGACATCGAGACCCTGGTGGGGCTGCGCGTTCTCTTTCTCGTTCTCTGTCTCTCTCTCTGTCTCTCTCGGTCATGGAAGAAAGATATAAACTGGAAAAAAAAGGAAGAAAACAATGGCTGACTTACAATACCGAGATTCAGTCTCTGTATTTTACAGATCGAGAAACTGAGGGACAGCACAGTTAAGCCACTTGTCCAAGGTCAAACAGCTAGAAAATGATGGACCCGGACAAGATTTGAACCCAGAACCCCACGGTCTTTGTCACTGTTCTACTTCACCAGTCTCCTGGGGTAGGAAGGCTATTGAGCTGTTTCTAGATTGTCCATGTGTGTGTGGATTTTCCATTTCTCGAAATACCGTGGCCGGTATGTAGCCCTCCACAAACGAGCAGGCTGAGCTTCCTTCGGACGCAGTTAGACCAGAGCTTTTATTAACAGTTTGACGCACGAGCTACCTGCCTCCCGGTGGATTCCAGTGAGCTGCAGTTTGGTAACCATGGGGAGGCTGCAGACCACAGCCAGGGCATGAGTTTTGTTTCTAGCAGAAGTTTGCACACGGGACTTGCAGAGAACACCTGGACTGCAGGGCCCTATTGGGCTCTTGAGCTGCTTCGGTCATAGTGACACCTGGGACTTCGTGGTGCCCTGGACGGTCGTTCTTTCATTCGTCCACCAGCTGTCATGTCAGTCCAGCGTTTTTGTAGTGCACCATGCCAGGGCTGGAGAACGTGGTGGACTGTTCCAGGTGGGGAGGGCAGGAAAGGCAGAACCATGAGATGGACGGGATGGGTTGGCTGAACAGAAAGAGTGCCTGGGGGATGGGGAGCCCTGGGGCCGGGCCGGGCGGAGCCTGGTGGCCGTGGAGAGGACTGTGAATGCTGTCCTTCATGACATGGACGGGGGCGAGGTCAGCCGTGGCCTTACTCCGGTTCCAGCGGGTCCCCCAGCACCGGTGATGGAATGAGGTTGCAGGAGCAAGAGCAGAAGTCGCAGTCACCAGGGCGGTGTGAACACTAGGAGGGCAGGTGGCGACGGGGCCTGGAGCAGGGCGGCTGCAGGGGCCCATTTGGCATGTGGTTGGGAAATCGACTGACAGATGGGCTGGCTGCGGGGTTACAGGAAGGAGAAGACTCAAGGGCAAGTCCCGGGTTTAGAGCAGGAGCCAGGAGGTGAGAGATCGAGCACTCGGGCTCAGGAACGGCACGTCTGTGCCGCAGCGGCAAGAGCCAGCTGAGCCGCGTGTCGGGACCTGACTGTGATTCGGCTTCTGTGACTCTGGCATAAAACCAGCAGAAGTCGAGAAGTACGGACAGGAGTCCCGGAGGAGAGGAGACAAGGAACGCCACGGGGCTAGACAGGGGCGCAGCAGTGGGACACGGCGCTCTGCAAGGCTGACCGCACGAGAAGGGTCTAGCTTTGCACCCGGAGACCTCCCTGAGTACACCAGGCAGGCACATGCCCATTATCTGGGGCTGGCCAAAGCTGCAGTCGGATCGAGACATCGAGACCCTGGTGGGGCTGCGCGTTCTCTTTCTCGTTCTCTGTCTCTCTCTCTGTCTCTCTCGGTCATGGAAGAAAGATATAAACTGGAAAAAAAAGGAAGAAAACAATGGCTGACTTACAATACCGAGATTCAGTCTCTGTATTTTACAGATCGAGAAACTGAGGGACAGCACAGTTAAGCCACTTGTCCAAGGTCAAACAGCTAGAAAATGATGGACCCGGACAAGATTTGAACCCAGAACCCCACGGTCTTTGTCACTGTTCTACTTCACCAGTCTCCTGGGGTAGGAAGGCTATTGAGCTGTTTCTAGATTGTCCATGTGTGTGTGGATTTTCCATTTCTCGAAATACCGTGGCCGGTATGTAGCCCTCCACAAACGAGCAGGCTGAGCTTCCTTCAGGAGGTGAAGGGTGGGAAGGTGGTAGTGGGGGAATGATGAGCTTTTTATAAACCACTAGACAGACCCAGATCAATAATGCATGCTCCAAAAAAGCCCAACCACATTATCTCACAGTCTGCTACAACTGGCGAGCAGAGGGTGGTCCTAAAAAATTTATCATCTGCTATTTTC